GACGCGTCTGCCTCCGCGACCCGAAAGGAGAAGCGGCGATGGAAGATGAAGATGAAGATGAAGAAGATGATCGAAGAGGCTGAAAACACGTTTAGCTGAGTCACGAGATTAACATACGGTATGATCTGGATGGAGAAGTTGGGTGGAGAAAGGGGGCCAATTAGCATGCATTCCGTTCCATCAAGGGTGTCCTCCTTAGCAGCATCAGGAAAGAAACCCACACAGAACTCTTCAACTCTGCCGTCCTGCGAAGGTTCTTAGAACTCCCAAGTCACGACAGATGATTTATCATATCTACTAACCATAAATATTTATAAACAAAAGTATGACAAAATCTGGTCATCCTTCGTCTTAAGAACTTACGACTTCTTCGAGTTGTTTGTGATCATTATTTGTCAACAAACAATTGTTTACAGCGCTGATTTGTGGTATTGATTTTTTCGTAAAACGTAGCTTACACAAATTGGCACTGATAGAAACATGCTATAGCAGAAAAAGACATCGATGAAGCACTTCAAAAAATAGGAAACCGAAATTTTCAACCCTTGCTAGTCGATTCATGAACAGAATACCTGATCTGCGATTGCAGTGCAGATATTTCGTTCATTTCCTTTTCTCTTGCTTTGCAGGCGGCCAGTTGTTGGTTCAGGCTTTCGGCTGAGGCAAGAGTGTCATTCAGGGACTTCTGGGTGCGCTCAATCAAATCCTTCAGTTTGTTTTCTGTCAAGGACGCAGTGTGAAGGCGTTCGCGCAACAACTCGGATTCGGCGTGAGCCCGTGCAGACGCTTCTACGGATTCTTTTAATTTTTGCTCGCTACTCACAAGCTTCTGACGAAATTCCTGCAATTATAACGATGAATCAAAATTATTTTGCGATCTGACAATTTTATAGGTCTAATTTTTAAAAGTGATGAAAAATAAAATAGTTTAAAATAACGATGAAGATTAAAATAGTTTTTTGGGTGCTGTTATCTGCAATTTTATTGCTGTAGGATTTATCGTCATTTATTATGCTGCGTTTTCCCATGTATATTACAAACGTTGATTAAATACTGATGTGTGCATTTAATTGCAACAAAGGTAATTCTGGTAACGGCGTAAATGATTAACTTCACTTAACATTGCCCTATGTTAAAAACGAGTGAAAAAGAACATAGGCTGTCCTTGTCATTATCATCATTAGCATCCTTGCAGCCTGTTTAAGCTTCGTGATGTCAATTAATCTTAATTTATTGCACTTTGGTATTATGAGCTGTTATCTGCGTCGATGAAGTAACGATTCCTCATCAACAGCCGGTCTTGGTTTAGTTTCCTTTGTCTTGTGATGTGCTGGCCACGGACACCTTTTGCCGTCCATATTTGGGTTCAGGTGTTAGCAGCTGAGAGCCGCTCCAGCTGGTCCAAAGGCACCAACCGTCTGCCTCTAAAAGCGCCTTCGATGCGTCGGTGAAGTCGGCCATTACCAAGAGTTGGTTTTTTCTGCGGTCTAGCCACTTGTCCTCCATCAACCAGCGCTGCTGTAGGTTCCACAGTTGACGTTTCTGCACCTTAGTGAGTGAAACCGTTTCCGGTCCGTACCTCAGAACTGGTCTGGCAGCAGTGCAATGAAGTCTGACCGCTGGTAGAGACTGCTGTTGCTCTTTGAGTCCAAACGTTCGTAAGTCTCTTGCCGATGAATGATGCTAGCGAAATTCTTCCATTCACGTCCTGTCCAAAATTCCCTTCCATCGAAAAGTTTGCGCCCTGATATTTGAACTGAAACACTACTTCGATATACCGCTTGCAGGAAACATATTTGGTTCTACTGCATGTTTTTGGTTCGTCATCGCTTATGTCTTTGCAGGGTTTAGCTGGAGGCCTGCTCTTGCCGTCGTCGCTGCTACCCGGTAAGACGATGCTATAAGCAAAATATAAGTCCGCTAAATAATTTTTTGTGTACCTTGAGCTCTGCCTTTGTTCTAAAAAGAGGCCGTTCCCTTTGTGCCGTTACGCCTGTTTCGTAGGACGCGATCTAATACTGCCCCGACGAGTATAGGAGAAAGATCATAGCACTACCTGACCCTGTTCCTGATCTTGACCTAATCTGCCATCCGGCTCACCGAATGCTGTACATCCCACTTGCTCTAGAATGCCAAAGTTGCGTATCATTCTCCAAGTTGTTGGGCAATGAATGGAATCAAGCGCGACTAGATAATCGATGAAGATGGCATGGTTTTGGAGCCGAAATCAGCGGTATTGTTCAATAATCCCGCAGACCAAATGTAAGGCCTGTGCGAATAATTCGTTCGAAATCCTGCCTGGTTTACTCAGAGGTTCTTGTCAACCATTTTCTGTAGGCACTCCATTATGACCATGGAGAATAACTTTTCCGGCATCGACAACAGGATAATTCTCGGTAGTTCTAACAGCAGGTGTAATCGCGACCTCTATGGATTCGGATTATGATTTTCTTCTGCGTTCCACATGCGCCAGGTGAATCTCTAGAGCCTTAGAGAAACATGCCATTAGCACTTAAGTTTATAATCAGCTGTGAATACCGTCCATACTACAGAATTTGTCTACCTTTAGGTTCTTTCGTGTTGCGGACTCATATCCCTAGCCATATTTTACATCTGCATATATTCAAAAACTCAGGCTTGTGCGTCACTGACAAGACCAGCATGAGGTGATGCTTGTCCAGATAATTCCTGCGCCGTCCGGTAAGCAGAGCGTCATTCATCTTTGTTCGCCGCAGATTCAAATTTGTCGGATTCTAAATCTAGCGACGGCTGTGTGTGTGCGGAGGAATTTTTGTCGAGTAGTTTGTAAAGAAATTGATTGGCTGTCCTCGAATCAGCGGGTGGTACCTTCATCTTTGTGTCCATCGAGTCATGGTTTCTTCAGACACCAAAAGCTTCTTCCTGTTCCACTATTCTCTGAGCCCGATGGTTTGCTTGGCTGGTCGATCTTATATCCGCAGAACTCTTTGCATTTGTGACCGATTCCTGCTGGCTTTCGTCTGTTTTGGCATGATGGATGAATTTTGGGACAGTTTCTGACGGAAATTAGCTCATACTTCCGCCGTCTTTAACTTTTCCGTGCCAATGGCATCATAAGGTAATCTTTCTCTTCGTTCCGATGCAGGAGCCGCGTCTGACCCAGGTATCGAGCAACACACTGCACCATTACTAGCCAATCAACACGTGGTTTATTTGAATTTGGAACTTCCTACTCACCAGTGGTGATCCAGTGATTTCTGTGGAAACGAACTTCTGCTAGCAAGAGTCGTTTGACTCATCGACTTGATATATAACAACTCAATAAGCTTTCATTTTACTTTGAAGACGAGGCTTTTCAGGCTGGGCTGATCATTTACCACAATGGACATGCTTATATAGGAGAAACAACAATAGTCTAACTTGAAAAACGTCAAAAGCGTTTCAGGCCGGATAAAAACTGCGGAGCACCACGGTAATGTTAAAAACACGAAGCCAACTCAAAAGAAACTAGCAAACGAACAAACGCCCTTCTCTAGAGATGAAACTACAGCAATGAAAGAATCTGAGGATCGAACAACATCCTATGCTGAAAGTATGCGTCCTCGTGTCAGAGTGCAATGCACATTAGTGGCATTGACTGGCACGACGTCTCATGCAGTACTCAGCAGATTCAGTCCAAACAAGCGACGGAAGCTGTGCGTGAACTGAATGAGCTTCAGTGGTCTATTACAATGAAGCTGCTATGGGCACAGTGGCCCTGTGGATTAGTAATTTTGTTTTACACTTGAAGTACAGAGTCCGAATCCAGGTGTGCTGTACATTATTGCTGATTTATTGTTAAATGGGAATTCAGGCCACCGCTTTGAGGCGAGTTCAGAAGCGAATAGTTCATCTTTGACCCGCGAAAACAGGGATATCTTGGGTTTATGCTTGGTCATTCCAGAGCATACGAACCTTGCATTTGTACTCTCTTACGTGTGCACCATACTGCTACTATTTTCCGTGACCCATCTCACAGCTGATTGAACGTCTGCACGACATGTTTATCAAAAATTAAAGATTAAATCTAAGTAAACTAGCAGCATGTGGCAGAAATATCTTTTGATCTTCCAATTGTTGTGAACAGCCATAGCAGCAACCGGATATCAACCGCATTGCCCTGAAGAAAGGCCTTGAAAATATGAATCCAAACGTTTGCAAGAACCTATCCTTTACCTTGTATAAATGGAAATATGTTGAATCTGCTTTGGCACGTTGAATTTTATATTGACGTCTGTACTGAACAATAAATTAGTATAAATATTACATATCAATAACGATCTTGAGAGGATTATGCATGTCCATAATGCATAAAAGGAAAAGGAGTTGGTTTATTAGATCGTGAACTAAATATCTGAAGGAAATTTTAACAGGTTAGACAATTTTTAATTTTAACGGTGACAGTTTGGTGTAGCGTCTATTATGTCTTACTCAGCCCTTCAAGAAAAAATTGAAATACAAGGGGTCATGCATAATTCAAATTGCTCTCCACTTTTCCTCTCTCTCTTGCTGAGGGTTAACAGAAGCAAAAGCAGGTAAACTTACTGTAACGTAAGTGAACTTTTTGTGCATTGGAGGGCGTTCATGTCATTCAGTTAACTTCTCTAATTAAATATGACTCTAATTAACCGCGTCAGATTACCTCTATGCATAAGATTATGTCGTTAATCATCACCTCCAGATCTTCTATAGACCTTTTGTCTTACCTTAATTTCTGAAT